AAAACACACCATAAATCTTAATAAAAATATAAAGAATTTACCACCCATAACAAATTAGAAATTAAAAAAACAACGCGTCCACATCTGGTGATCCTTTAGCAGCCCTGCACAGCAGTCAGCTAATGGTTGCACTCCCCCCCTTTCTTTGATAAGTATTTTAAAAACAAACATTTTAAAAAATACTTCTCATAAAACTCTTCTGGAGCAGCCTGGCACGGTTTCAAGCTATCAAAGCGGCTCTGCTGGTGCTGAAGTTCGAGAAACGCGACTCTGCACCTAGAGCAGCCACCTCGCCGTGCTTTCTCCTTCCCCGAAATGGCAGGCGGCAGGATAAAAGCCGTCGCGGCCGGCGGCAGGAAATAGCGTGAGAATGGGCTCCCTCATGCTACTTCCAGCCCTTCCTGATATTGGAGGGTGTGAAATGGGTTGCAAAGACTGTCTCTCACATTATTTCCTTTTCCACCCCAGCCAAAACCAGGAAGCGCCAGCTAGGAGATACGCAGAGAAAGCATAACATAAAATGAAGCACAAAATCAAATTGGCTAACTAAAGCAAAAATTCAAGGATCTGTGGGCACAGCCTAACATTAGCAAGCCTAGAAAAAGCACTACGAGGCTCACGTACCCAGGCTTTGCTTTTGATTTGCTGTACAGCTAAGCCAAAGACTACTGACATCAAAGCAATTTTCTTCAGGACATCCACAGACTCTGGGTCAGACCTTACAGGACGGCACTGGCATCCTTCGTGCCACAAACGGCACGTTCCTATGGGAGAGATCCTACTTACTCTGACTACTCTGTTGTGTATTTGTGAGGCTTTAAGAACAGAGCCCCTCAAATGAAAACAGAGGCAGAAGTACTAGCAACAACAGCACTTCACAGAGATCATGTTTGTTTCTATTTGACAGAAGGCATATATTTGACAGACAGGTCTTGGCACATTGCAGTGGAAATGGCTCCTATAGTCTTAATATTAAGTAATATATTCTATATAAAATGCAATCCTGTGCCTTCAGGGAAGAAATATGAAGGATGGTAAATCATTTGTTTATGACCATTTGGGGTTTTCTATATTCTAGACACTTCTGCGTTCTTCTGTTTATTATTAGCCAAGAGCGGTATCACATGGCAGCTTCAATACAAACATTCCTTCTCTTCTGTATACATCCCCACAAGACGCAAGAGCAATGAAATCTGGTCTCCTCATAGATAATGCTCCCTCCTCCCAGCTAAAATACATTCCTCTCAGAGAGAAACCGGTGACAACCTCACAGACCATGCTGTTCTAAAAGCAGAACTGAAACTAGTTACTTAGCAAGTCCAGTTAAGAAAAGGGAAACAGCCTCCTTTCCCTTCTCTGCCCCTCAAGGCTGGAAAATACGCCTAGGCAGGAAGTACAGTAAGGCTCACGATGAGCAGAGGCAGCTACTCTTTCAAAATGAACAGGGTTCCTCCAAAGTGACATTATCATTTCGCCGGCGAGCTTGAGGATAAAGGGCAGGATACGAGGGGGTGTCCCCAGCAGATGAGGTTACTGCCCAGGCCTCCCAGCTTCACACCTCCAAAGATCACACCTGCAGTTAGACGGAGGGTACCTGTGGCTTTTGGTAAAGTCATCTTGCCTGAGGCAATGCAACCAGGAACTTGGTGGACCAACGATAATAGTGCATATTAATGTTAACTTCTTATGGGGAGACACTGAAAAAATTGTAGCGAGTCAGCAGGGAGTACTGTAGTATTTGAAGTTACTGCTCAGGAGCAGGTGAAAAATACCATTTCCAGACTCTGAACATCCACATTTGAGTTAGGTAGATGCAACACGTTAGGTTGAGAATTGTATTTGTTCCCACTTTCCTGGGAAAGCACAAGCAGCAGAAAGTGGCTTTCCCCTGCCCTTTGTTCATCTAGGAGAGCTCCTGACTAGTTCCCTTCTTTCCTCAGTGCAAACTCTGCGAGAGTTCAAGCCTCCATCTCCCCACCATCTTTCTTTTCCAGATGCTCCAGCATCCAGCAGCTATGCCATGCAGTCCTCACCTCTGCAAAGACCTTCTGCTGGCCTGCAGCTAAGCTGCCTACACGGAGAACCGGTCTGCATCCCTGGCAAGCAGAAGTGTCCAAGTGGCACTGTCGAGCAGAGGGGAACTAGGTAAGCCCTAGGCAGTGCCTCACTGCCACCATCGCACCGTTACCAAAAGATGGACATAAGAGGAGGGAAAGGACTTGTGCCAGTTCCCAGAAGCCAGCAGGCAGGGTGGCGGGTGCTGCCGCAGCCCGCTGCCTGCAACAGCTGCCACACAGCAGACCACAAGCCCTGCAACGTGCCCGCTCCCCGAGGACAGGCGACACAGCAGCCCCTGACCTCTGCCAGATCCCTGAAGAAGCTCTGCACACATTTCATTTGGATAGCAACATTTCTGAAAGCCAAACAAAGCCCTGTAACATACACATTCCTCACTGTTCCCTGCTAAAAGACAGACAAAATTGATTTTTAAACACTTGGCACAATCTCCTTGCAAAGCTTCCTATATATAACTGTGTCACTTCCAAGGGTGAAAAAAACCCTTCCTTTTTAAAACAAAGCAGAACGTTAAATGAGCCCATACCAAGACAAACTTTACACTAAGCAATTCACACTTCAAAAAATGACAGTTTAAAAAAAATTTAAAATTTTACAACTATAAAAAGTTAATTTTTGTGAACAAGAAACATTGTTCCGAATTTTAAAGTAATTCACCGAACAAAGAATCCATTAATATTTAAGAATTTATTCAACTTTCAAGAGCAAGAAGGGATTTTTGGACTGATCTTGAAAGAGAAAAGCCACTTTTCTGCCTTCCATTTTAAGTATGCCTTTCTTGTTTCAAACAGGGACTTCAAAAGGGGAAAGTGTTTAGAACCCAAGACTCTTCTCTGAAAAACCTGAAAACTCAACATGGTTTGCTCATCTTTCTCTTTTAATTTCTATTAGTCCTAACGACAGTAACTTGCACATTCAAATTAAAAAAGTCTTCCCTTAATAAATCTCAGCTACATTTTATATTTTGCCCTTGCTACTTTTTTGGGTTTTTTTAGAGTGTGCTCACCAGGTTAATTTCAAAGTATCAATCACGTCAGATTTTACAGGAAGTAATTTTTGTCAGGTCCCTTGAAAATTTAGTATGATAAAAAACAAGTTCAGAATGTCAAAGTGATGTTAACCTCCAAGCAAACATTTTGCTACTAAAAAACTCTTACTTTGCATATTCTATTATTAAAAACAACACCACTGAACAAACAAAAATGACAGAAAGGACAAGAACTACCAAAACTAACTATTAGAAAGCTCCTTCTGCAAGAAAATAATGTCACATATTTTACTATTAAATTGAATAAGTATTAGAATTATGGAATATTTTTAGAAGGAGACAGCAATAGTAGCTTAGGGGAAGAAAAAAAAAAAATCTGTAATTTGTCAGCAATGTACAAGGTTTATTTTGGGCTCAACAGCCCATGACGTAGACTTAAGTGTTCCACTAGATGGAGCAGGACGGTAAAACCACCATGAAGGCCATCCCCCTTGCTGACCCATGAAAAAGTCAATCTCCAGCAATCAGGGATGATAAGAAAAAGCTTTCTTCTTTGCATTCAGGGCAGAACACAATTTGTTCGTCTTCCAACAAAGGGCAACACAAAACCCCTTAGTCCTCAACAATATTTACTTCTTCCCATCATAGAAGCTGACTATGAACAAACACTAACCAGAAACAAACAGATAACCAAACACTATCAGAAACAAAACTAGGTTTTCACCATTTCTATTGGCTTTACACTAGAAAGACAAAATTTACTGGATAGTTGTCAGAAAATGAAAATATTGTAGTATTTTTCATTTTGTAGCAACTGAGCAACTGAACTTGCAAAAAGATGCATGCCAAATGATCAAACATTAGTCACCTAATGCAAAAGACATCGCTACACATCAAACAAATTCACACTAGAAACAATGGCAAAACTTCAAAGAGGCTCCTGAAGACCTGGAGCTGTGCAAGTCATAGTAAAATAATCTCCCTGGTCTCTTTTCAAACAGAGCTAATTGCTGATTTACCTTTAATTCTACCTAAACAAACAAAAAAGAACCTTACAAATTTTATTTCATCAAATATTCTTTAAGAGATGCAGTAGTAGATAAACCGCAGTTGTCCATCATCATGTGAAATGAGAAACCTGCATTTCCTTGACCCTTCTCCAAAAGAAATAGAGAGAGTATAAACTAAGAAAGAACAGTTTCAACCACTAATATTCCAAATTTAAGTCCTGCAATTCTTGAGTATTCACAATAAAAATACCAGGAATGGTCACAATGATCACAAACATCTTGTCATAAAAAATTCTGAGCCATACTATAATGCTATATATGATAAACAACAGCAAACATGCAGCAGTTTCTCATGTCAATACTAATTATCACAGTGGTATAAACAGCAGAAGAGAATGAATCATTCTCAGATATGTGCATGAAGGCACACAAGCACAAGTCTTGGTGACTGATCACACGCTGCTGCCCATGATTGTTGCTGCCATCGCTTTGTTTTCAGATAAATAAACTGTGCGAAAAACAAAAGCTACAAACACGGGCATGTTTCATACCAACGTACTTTCCAACTTATTCAAGCTTGCTGCAGTATCTGAAGCTGTCATTTGGAAAGGAACTGGTCTAAGTGGAAGAAGCAGGAAATTTGGTCTTTGAGACAATACAATTGTCCACTGCATTAAGGTGTCAGCCTGTATTAAGACCATTTGAAAGCATCTGCAAGGTTTTCAATATAGACATTATTGCTAACTGAATGCCAGTTTTTCCTACCTCTCTGAATAGCTGATTACCAAGAATTTACTATGTAGCATACACTCCACTTCCAAGGTAGGAAAAGTAAGCATCAGGACCATCCAAATCACTGTCATTAACATTCAATAAAACAGTTTGTGTATTGTAGTCAATATCCAACAGAATAGAAACAATACTTACTACTGTGCACAATCAATCAGTTGATATTCATTAGATCTCTCATAGCAGGCTTTCACACCTTCATCTTGCCAAAGTGTTTTTGTATGTTCATAAAACTCCTGAAAGAGTAAAACCAGTATTAGCAAAATGGATTATATATGAAGAGAATTGAGAAATGGTAACTTATCATTACCACTGTAATGAACGGTCAATGGTAGCATATTTAACAAAAAACTTTTAAATGTTTTTTAGAACCTGACTACAAGTTCAGTTGGATTTCTTAGTTGTTTTGACTTCAACATTTTGTAACACTTAAAGAGCTGCTTCTCAATCATTTTGATTGAGTCCAACTATATACTGAAAGAAGGGTCAACTTTTCATTAATGACAATTCTGTTAGCATTTTTAATAATCAATACTATTTGGTAACATTTATTCTTTAACTCACAATTCCACTGCATGTTATATTTATTTGGCTGTCAAGATTCTTTTTTCTTCAATGCAACACTACTTCTCAGTAATTCTTACATAAAGGTAGCAAATGATGATTAGGTTTTACTTGACTTTCCAAGTTAGTGAGGATCTTCAGGGACTACATAGACATCTGTATCTTAACTCTGTATCACTTAACTCAAAATATTTGCAGAATTTATTCTTTTACAGTGTAAAAGCATATTGAACTACAGAAGAAATACAGCGATATGAAGTTAGATCGTGTTTTGATTGTGTCAACCTTAAAAATTATAAGCCAAGATACAAAAGCAGACAGCCAAAAAAGCAATGCTTCAGTTTTGCCGAACCTGTAACACCAGCATAAAGCACAACCAGAAGCCCATTCTTTTTTTGCATATAAAAGATGCACTTTGGCTCCAACAGGGGCATGCGCAATGTGGAATTGTATTTCTGGCTATCAGTCTAAGAACTTTGAATAGACTTAGAACAGCAGCAGCCTAGTGACTTAAATACACACACCACTGTGGGCATTACTTTTATCAATGACCATGGACTTTTCTTGGCTATCTCTCAGAGCTTTTAAAGTGGTTTGGACTAAATACTTTTATTCTGATTTTAAGTGGCTCAGGCAACTTATACCAAATCAGCTTTTTTGCACCCAGGACAGCACATGACCTTTAAAATAGTTGCTGTATATATACTATTTCTCCCCCCAACCCCTTTTCTTTACAGTAGAAGTATTTTAAAGAAAAAGAATGTATTATTTTAAATAGCCATTTTACTACTTCAAGGTTCCTCCACTAACTTTGGAATCGCTCCCTCTCTTGGGATATCAGTCTCTCGCATTCTTTTACTATCAGTGTAGTACAAAGAAAGGGGTCACATCCAAATGTGACTTCCAAGGTTTCACTTGAAAACATCTTTTTAAAAAATTCACTTTCCTACCAGAATGTTAACTAACACCTGAACTGTACCAGCACAGTAGATGCTTTAAATGGCATCTTAAAGATGTATAATGGCATCTTAAAGTAAATTTAGTGATGCAGATTTTCAAACCATCCTCTTTTTGGCAGGTATAAGATGCATATGTGATTGTGTGATATTCACAGTTGTGAATACCAATGATGGAAACAGCCTATCAAATGTAAATTTGATCTTGCTTTTATTGCTATTGAATATTCACTAGCTGCACATATACACAAACGATAGTAAAGGCACACTACACATCTAAAATCTCTCTACGGTAAAATTTTGTTCTAATTTCTTTTAAAGATATTATAAAGTTTAGACATAGTATTAGATGTATCTTTTAAGTTTGTTCCCTGCTTTTATGAACTGTTCGTGAACAGGACGACCAGTTAAATTTCTTTTGCAAGTAGATAAGAAGATTTTACTTCATTTTTAGTATTTGTAGATTGTACGACCATTTGCTGTTAAAGGAAGCAAAAGATGAATCAAAATCTTAATTCCAGTCCTCAGTTTTCTTTCTTCCACTGCAGATTTTTTGGCAGTTGGGAGACTGTCAATTATCTTCAATCTTCAACTGTATCAACATAGTGAGGAAAATCTCTTTCCAAAGCAAAAAGGAGTAGGAAGAGGAAGTAAAGGAGAAAGGAATCTCTGAGTGAGATCTGGAATCTCACTGTATTTGAACCAAACCCATTTTGGGGTGGCTTTATGTATTTCTTTTTAGAAGTAACAGTAGTCTAATACAGAACATCTTATGACTCATTCAACTCATTACTACAAAGCTGGGAAATTGAATCATCAATTGTATGAGGTTTTTTGCTGAAACAGCAGCTGATTCAAACGGACACACACCATTTAAATTTCCCATCTAATCAAGACAACTTACACCAGACTTCAGATAGTTAATTGAACTATTTGGCTGAGATATGGTTCTAAAATAGACATCTACTTCAAACTGGGGTCAGCATCTGCCAAGCCAATTATCTCCAAACATACCCCAAAATACTTGCTTCATCCTGCATTACAGTAAGTAAACAAGTAACTAGGCAAAGATAAGTTTACAGAAAATGCAATAAAACCTAAAAAGAGTCTTCATTACCTACAAATGTACATTTAAAGTGAAAAGAGGCAGTCCCTTAATGAAAAAAAGTCACAGCATAGTAAAACTGCCACAAAAATGAGACACAAAAGTCCTTCCTCACTACTGTGTCTCACTACAACTATGATATTCTGGTAGAGAACTGATGTAAAGCAGTTGTTTTCAACAACTTATGAATGCCATCATACCCTGTGAAGAAACATTTGGAGTAGTTTCTGCAATCAGACTCTTGAAATGGGATGAAAAGTAAAGCCAGTTCCTGGCCCTAGCATAAACACATTGATAATGAAAAGCCTAAGATTTAGTTTAACAGAACAGTTACATATTGTTCAGAAGAGTCCTCCCTGTGTTGTAAGGGCAGTTCTTAACTTCTAAGAAAATATGTGGATTACAATAATGGGATAATGATCAATCTTTGTGCTTTGTTATGCCAAATTAGGAATAAAATAATTAGCACTGCCTTTGCATCTGTCCTGTTAATCGAAACTATAACCAGCAATACTTACGCAACCTTTTCAATATGGTTGTTAACTGTCCCTGTGAGACGCAAAAGGAATTTAGGTCCACATTCTTTGAACTTTTTATTGGCATTTCAAAATCAGTATCTACAACAAGTAATGAGTAATATAGTATTATATTAAGACACAGTGGGGTTTTTTTGGAGTGGGGTTTTCGTGTTTCTTTTGGTCTTTTTTTGTTGTTTGTTTTCATTTTGTTTTTAAAACTGAACTACATGACTTGTGATAGCCAAAAATGAAGGCCTTTTATTAATAAACAACGTTTTGTCTTTAGGCCACATCAAATGTATCTTCACACATTTTGGGACTAACGCTGACCCAGCTTACACAACTGTAAACTAGGAAGGTGTTCACCAAAGAAAAGTTGGAACCAGGCTTACAGAGTTCCACTCTTGCTTTATTAGAAGCCTACTTATACTAGTGACTGATTCTTGAATTAAGAAATAGTAGCTAGTTGCAAAAAAAACAGATTCTCCCTCCTCCCCGATACACCTACACTAACCACAATTCTGAAATAATATTTAAGAAAAAGAATAACGTAAGAAATCCTCAGCATCCCATTTGAGTCATGGAATGTAGCCTGGGGCTACTCACAGGCAAGGCAAGTAAAACCACAAGATTTGTTAATGTATTTAGGTAAAACAGGGGCTTCAGAGGCCACCAGAAAAATCATGTTAGCAACAGGGGGTTTTTTTGAGTTAAATAGGTCTAATTTGTATGAGATCTCTAAAAATAATGAGTTAGGAAACAAATTAACCAAAAGTAGCAGGCAAATTTCCTGAAAAGAAATACCCAGAAAACTAGTCCTTACATGTCTGGTTCTTGTTTCCATAACACTGATTCATTTGCTGGCACATTCTAATGTAACAGACTCTATAGCAGCATCAACACAGGTTTCTCTTGCACTATAAAATGCAACTCCTAACAAAACAGCTAGAATAAACAAATAATACTAAATAACAATTTGGTTTGAGATTACATTCCACAATAAACAGGATTTAAATGTTAGGTTCCAAATGATCCATGGTATTTGCAAAGTATGGTCATATTATCCATTCTTGCCCTATGCATACTTAAAACTGAAAAAAATATTCAAGTTATGTCATTTTCCATTAAAAAAAAATGTTGCAGTTACACAATACACACCCAAGATCCTGTTTAAACTATAGCTGAAGCTGTGTAAAGCAACAAAAGTCAACATAAGTGATGACAGCATGGCATCACCAGGGAAGGCGAGAAGTGAATTCTTCCAAAGAATTATGGCAAGATTGTAGCATTTACTTACCACTAGACCAAACTTTACACTTTTCAAAGCGCTAACATAACCCTAAAGAGGGAGAGATCCTTGTGTAGAACACTTATGGAAAACGATGCCAACGTAACACAAATCTGAACACAACAAACAGGGTTTGACTTTGAATGTGTTCAGGCTGAGCAGGGGCATAGTTTGAATTCCGGGCACAATCCCTAACCAACAGCCTACGCTTCTGTGAAAATATAAAAGATTGAGAAAATCCACTGTCGGGGTAAACCTTCTCTGGTCTTACTTAGATAACTGAAGTATCAAGGACCATGACTTGCTCATGGCAAGGAAGCTTCATCTCTCATCACACCATAACACTGTGATACTTAAAGAGTCATATTTATGTGAAACGTATTTCAGTATTAATGTTTTATGACACTGTCTCCACCTGTTGAAAGTTTCCCAATACAATGAGTCAATAGCCAACATCTGTAAATTGCTTGTATTCACTTACAGGAATCTGTGCAGACCTCTAGAGAAAAAACCCATCAGCTCTAATCATCATGTAAAAGGGATGCTTGGAAAACAGTACTTTGTTCCAGAAAGATCTTACTGACACAATTCTGGACTAGAAAAGGGGCAATGCAGAATCTAATCAAGTTTAAAACCTACTTGTATTAGAAAATTTCAGCAAATTGAATAAATGGCATCAGGTAAACAGTGGTTTTATTAAAAGTCAAACCAGAGAAAGTGTTAAAGAACTTGGAGGTTGAGCGTTTTGGTTGTTAAAAAAAATAATCCTCAAGAGACAAACTCCAGGCCTGGGAAAAAATAAAGG